GTCCTTCATCAACCACCCCCAATGTTATAAAATTGAACCTTAATAAAGGCCACTGGCAGAGGACACCAAGGGAATGAGAGAAATAAATGAAGAAGAGAGGCAACCACAGCAAAAAGAAAACAAAGAAACAAAAAGAATAGATGAAAAATAAAGAAAAAGAAGCAGAAAGAAGAAATGAAAGAAAGAGAAAGCAAAAGAAACAATAAATAAAGATAAGAGGACTTCCAATTTTCCATCTGCTTATTACATGAAAAAAGCAGGGAGGGGGCATTAAGTCAATGATAACATCTATCTTCTCCACTTTTTGTTAAACAATATTTCTTTTAAGATTGTTTAGTTTTAAATGAGGCTGAGATGATCAGTTATGCAATGGGGATATATGTTTCTTATCAGAGAGGAGAGGGGTAATCATGCAAACATTTGACCCCTATTCAGCCATTCAAGCAACATGTTGCAGGGAGAGGTGGGGGTGGGGAATACACCTACTGAAAACTCCCATTCTCTCTGTGTTGCTCCAGCCTTCTTGCAGTGAACAGACAAATCCAAATACAGTGGTGCCTCGCAAGACGAAATTAATTCGTTCCGCGAGTTTTTTCGTCTAGCGAATTTTTCGTCTTGCGAAGCACGAAATCCCATAGGAATGCATTGAAATTCAATTAATGCGTTCCTATGGTCAAAAAAAGTCCAAACAAAGCCAAATTCGGTACAACAAGAGTTTATTAACTGCTCTTTAAAGTCACACATACTTTAAAGAGCATATCAAAACTTGAAGGAACAATACAGTAAGAGTCTAAACATGACAGGCAAAACATTTAAAAATCACAAAAGGGTACATTACATTTTCTAAGACTCTGGGGACCACTCGAAGAAGGTTCCTCTTCCACTCTTTGCTTCTTGCTGAGGAACCTGTCCATGGTCTGCTGCTTCATCCGCCGTTTCAGCAGCTCCCTGAGAGGCGACATGACCGTCGTATCAAAAATGTTCGCTTGGTCATGTGCCACGTGCTTGTCAGGGTGGTGCCGCTCTGCAAAAGCCTGCACCTCATTCCACTTCTGGCAAATGTCCCTCAGTTCTTTGGAGGACAGCCGTTCCTCAGTTGCTTCCTCCTCTTCCAGCGAGGCCTGCTCCTGCGCAACCTCTGACTGCAGTTCAACCAGCTCCTGGGTGGTCAGCTCGTGGTCGTGCTCCTCCACCAGCTCGCAAACGTCCTCCTCTGTGACCTCCAGGCCCAAGGTCCTCCCCAAGGCAACAATGTCCTGCACCACTGTCGACTCTGGTGCATCAGAGTCACTTGGTGCCACACAGTCCGGCCCCAGGCTGCGCCAAGCGCAATTCAAATTCCTCTGGCTGATCCCCTTCCAGGCCGTGGTGATCATCTTCAAGCAGGTGACGATGTCGAAGTGGTCCTTCCAGAATTCCCGCAGGGTGATGGTGGTGCAATCAGTCACCTCGAAGCATCGCCTGAAAAGCTCCTTGGTGTAGAGTTTCTTGAAATTGGCGATGACCTGCTGATCCATCGGCTGGAGCAGTGGCGTGGTGTTAGGCGGCAGGAACATGATGTTGATGAAGCTGAACTCCTCCAACAAGTCCACCTCAAGGCCTTTAGGATGAGCAGGAGCATTGTCCATCAGAAGCACAGCCTTCAGCGGCAGGTCATTGTCCAGCAGGTACTGTTTGACAGCAGGGCCAAAGGCAAGATTGACCCAGTCCACAAACAGCACACGTGTGACCCAAGCCTTGCTGTTGGATCGCCACATGACACTCAGCCGCTCCTTGTCGACCTTGTGTTTCTTGAAGGCCCGTGGGTTCTCCGAGTGGTACACCAGCAGGGGCTTGATCTTCAGGTCGCCGCTTGCGTTGGCACAGAAGAGCAGGGTCAGACGGTCCTTCATGGGCTTGTGGCCAGGCAACTTGGCCTCCTCCTGTGTGATGACAGTCCTTTGGGCATCCTCTTCCAAAACAGCCCGGTCTCGTCGCAGTTGAAGACCTGCTGTGGAACGTAGCCCTCCGTCTTCACAACCTCCAGGAACTCCAAGGCAAAGTCTTCAGCTGCAGGAACATCAGAACTGGCAGCCTCTCCATGCCTGACCACGCTGTGGATTCCGGATCTTGCCTTGAACCGGTCAAACCAGCCTCTGCTTGCCTTGAAGACTTCTGGCTCGGCCGAGGTTCCTGGCTGTTCCCGGATGAGGTCTGCGTGCAAGGCCTTGGCCTTCTCACAAATCACGGCCTCAGTCACTGTGTCCCCTGCACGCTGCTTCTCTTCTATCCAGATGAGGAGCAACTTCTCGACCTCCTCCAGAACAGCTGGGCGGTTCTTCACGATCCTGGTGACTCCCTTGGCTGCATCAGTCGCAAGGATCTTCTCCTCATCTTCAGGATGGTCCCGATGGTCGATGGGTTCCTGCCGTACTCCCTGGCGAGGTCCGTCACACGCATTCCACCGTCGTGCTTCCGGATGATCTCCTTCTTCATCTCCAGCGTCACCTTCTCCTTCTTCCTCTCGCCGGCCTCCGCAGCAGCAGCAGTCTTCTTGGGTCCCATGGCAGCACAGCTGTTACCTTTGTAAAACTCAGAAAAAAAAAAAAAATCAGCAATTCAAACCCACAACCAAGTCCTTGAATTCCAAACACCCAACCCAAAATCCAAAAACCCCAAAAAAAGTTTTAAAAGTTTAACTTACGAAATGGCTGCAAATCACCAAAGTCTTCAAAATCCTCAAATGGCTGCAAAAGAAATTTTGGGAAAGCTTTAAAAATCACCAAAGTCTTCAAAAACCTCAACTGTTCCCCCAGCCCCTCCCCAACTGTTGCAAACCCCTCCCCAACTGTTGCAAACCCCTCCTCAACTGTTCCCCCAGCCACCCAGCACACAGAAATTCAAAACCCAGAAAATTTTTCAAAAAAAACCAACATGGCCCAATGGTTACAGAAAACCATAAAAATTCAAAAAAAAGCACACAAGCTCCCAGATTCCTGCAAACCCCTCCTCAACTGTTCCCCCAGCCACCCAGCACACAGAAATTCAAAACCCAGAAACTTTTTTCAAAAAAAACAACATGGCCCAATGGTTACAGAAAACCATTAAAAAAAAAAACCACACAAGCTCCCAGATTCCTGCAAACCCCTCCACAACTGATCCCCAAGCCACCCAGCACACAGAAATTCAAAACCCAGAAACTTTTTTCAAAAAAAAACCAACATGGCCCAATGGTTACAGAAAACCATAAAAATTCAAAAAAAACCACACAAGCTCCCAGATTCCTGCAAACCCCTCCTCAACTGTTCCCCCAGCCACCCAGCACACAGAAATTCAAAACCCAGAAACTTTTTTCAAAAAAGAGCACTGACCCAAGATGGCGTTGTTGGTGGAGGCACTGACTTGAGCTCCGCAGCAGTTGTGCGGTTTTTATTAGTTTTTATTGGTTTTATCAGTTTTTATTCGGCTTTTATCAGCCTTAGTATTTTATCTACAACATTTGGCAGCTGTTTTTAAAGTCTAGAAAAAGGAGGAGGGGGAGGAAAACGCCGAGAAACAAGGAGCGGCTGAAACTGAAGCATCGGGGTGGATCCTTACGCTGCCTTCTTGGAGTCTCCTCTCTCTCTGGGATCTGGTGAGGCCTTCGGGAGTTTCCCTTTTATCTGAGACCGACCCACGGTGGGCCCTGTGATAAGCTCCGAAGGAGAATTTTATATTAGTCTTAGTCCTGGTGGGAGTAGGACTTCAAAGGAATGGTCTGTGTTGCTTATCGGTAGTCTCCTTGTCGAACTAAATTGCCGGACTGTGAGGGTGAAGGTGAAGACGCCGACTTACATATGAACAGGCAGTGAAATATACCCCCACTGCAAGTGCTGGCAGGCTTGAAGGAAATATTTAGTTGACGTTAAAATACTATCCCCCCTCTACTCGATATCTGAATTATGGGATATGGGAAACGTCTTAGAGATTCGGAGGAGACAGTCCCCATTCCCTTTCCGAGATCAAAGCAAACAAGGGTGGAACCATGTCACTTTAAGGAAGGGAGTAATCTACTGGATTGTTCCTACACGGTAGAAACTCAGAACCGACTTAACCCTCTGATTGATTGCGTGTCAGCACTTAAAGACGAAGAGCGAATAATACCTCAATTAACAAGCAATGTGGGCAACAGTAAGAGTGTAGCCTCTCCTCAGAAGGAGGAACTGGTCCTTGGCACAGCCAATTATATGACATTTGAACAGTCCCATTTAATAATCAAAACTTTGCACTGTATATTCAAAAGACTAGATGATCTTTCGTCCCAGCTGCACAGCCTCCAACAAAAGCTAGTTACTACCTCTCCAGCGTTAGCCGGTGTTAAGTCTCTCGAAGAGAGGAAGGGGACGAGGAGTCTGTCCTTAAATAACAAACGTACTGACAAATTTAAATACAACCTTAACCTTCAATTAGGTCATCAATCCTTGATTTTAACACCAAGGAAAGTGTGCCTAACTATACAAAATGGGGACCCAAGATGGAGAACTCTGGGCGGTGCCAAGGAACTCCTAATGGTGCTTTTAAATATGGAGGCAACACAGATTGACCTCTGTGCAGTCCTCCCCTTGTCTATCATCATACATCACAGAGAGTCCTGCTGGCGTCCCAACCCACAAAAATTCCCACTATCATATTACGAAGGAAAGCTTTTTGTTTCGCTGTGGTATAGCACCAACGAGAGCCTTTATAGACCCTACGCCTAAACCCCTACTGTTGGAGGCAATAACCAAAGAGGGCTTAAAATCTGCTAAACCCGATCCACCAGTGGCCACCGGAGTGGGTGTTCTCCTCCAGGAGATGAGTCATGTGGCCTCCACTCCCTAGCAAAGAACAATGACCATCCGGAAAGTGGCCTGACACCACCAGAAGAGATCGAACTCATTGCCTCCTTTGCAGATTTACCAGCGGTGGAACAAAAAGAAATTATTAATAGACTCGAATCGCTTAAAACCCAACTTATCAGGAAGCTCAGCACCAGAATACCTATGTACAGCGAGCATGACATCCTAGAAGAACCAGTTCATATGGATATCGCAATATCTAATGCTAAATGTATGTCGGTAATGGAGGATAAGATACAACCCCAAGAAGCAACTACCAGTCCTTCCCTCCAACCAGAACAACCCTCCGTGCTCTTAATAGATTTACATGACCGTCCCTTGATAAACATACCTGAAGAAAGCAGCACACAACAGGAAAAATCCCCTTCTACACATTCATCGATGCCAGACCTGGAACCTTCTTATAGCACTGACCAATCAAGAGAAGAGGTGCCTTTGCTAATCTTCCCAAATAGCCCACTCGCCCAGCCTTATTCCTCTTTGCGGAGTACTATGGATTCAACAGCAAGACCTGTGACGGAACTGATTGAAGATCCAACAGGCCACATAAATCAAGTAGCCCAAAAGACCAGTAGCAGACCACAGAGAGCCCAAACTTCTGACGAGATAGATGGACCACACCGGGTGGCCCACCAAACTCTTTTGGAAAGGGGGCCGCCCCTGCTCAAGGTCCTACTCCTAGTAGATCGAGTGGCCAAGTTCAACAGACAGACAACCTTGTAAATCCTCCCACTCAGCTTTTACGAGAGGTTTTTCATCAGAGGAAGATAACTGATTTTTTTATTGGCTCCCCTCTTCCCGTATTAAAGTTGAGCCAACCTTCCGAATGACAGTCAATTGGAGGATCGAGGAATCCCCAGCCTTCAATATTAAGTTGGAACATTGCTGGATGGAAAAGTAAAAAATCAGATCCAGAATTCCAAAAATATATTAATTCCTTTTTTATCATACTATTACAAGAAACTTGGGTGGAGGAGGAAATTGAGTTAAATGGCTTTGAGTTTATATGTCTGCCTGCTAGCCCGTCAACGAATGGTGGCCGCCCTAAAGGTGGCCTTACAATTGGTATCTCCCTTAAACTTCGGGCTAAACTTTCACTAGTGCACGCATTTCCGCCTTATGCTATTACCGGACTGATCTCTGGTGGAAACTTCTCTTTATTGGTTACAAATGTCTATTTCCCCCCGGGAGGGTTAGCAGCTGATCTTATTTCTAGATGGGAATCCCTAGAGGATTTTTACTTTCTTGTTATCTTAAATATCCTAATGTCCCCTCCATTACCGGAGGCGATTTTAACGCTCGGATAGCCTCAAATCGGGAGGCTCTTATAAAGTCTAAATGGTGGGTCGACCCCGGCGCTCAAACCTACGATCTAGTATATATCCCCACTAGAATATCAAAGGATGTAAAAGTCAATAAGGCGGGAGTGATGCTTTACCAGATGGCTTTACGCCTTAATTTAATTATATTAAATGGCAGGTGTCCTCCAGATATACCAGGAGAGTTCACCCATCTGGGGTTAAAATCAAACAGTGTTCTTGACTATGTATTGGTTTCCCGGGATCTATTTTTGAATGTCACCTCTTTTAAAATTGATAATGCCCAATTTAGTGACCATCTTCCCCTGACAACCAAGTTATGTGTTGACTGGCACCTGCTCGAGCGCTCCCACCCAATCCCGGTGATTGCGGAGCCGTCCACTAAAATAAAGGGGATTAGATGGTCCCCTGCCCTCGCCCATAGATATACGGATTTTATCCGAGAAAAGTTTCTTGGTGATCAGCCGGACGTAGGAATAGTCCCGCGTGATCCTATTACCTGTATGAATTTTTTCTCTTGCCTGATAGAAGTTTTAACTCGCTTTTTTACTTCTCCAAGCTATGGAGTTAAAAACGATTATTTTAAATTTGGCGCCCCTTGGTTCAACTCTGCTTGTAAACTAGCCAGACTCCATCTACATACAATATATAATGACTATAAACTTTCCGGCGCTCTGGCCTTACCTCCATCTTATTCCCTGGCTAAAAAGCATACAAACAGGCCCAGAAATCGGCCAAACGGGAATGGCATTTAAATCGCTGGCAGACTATAATTTCTGCCTCAAAATCTCATAACTCCCGGAAATTTTGGTCCTTAATTAAGGGAAGAAACACGAAATACCCCTTAACGGTGATCCCGGCCCCTACATGGGAGCAGTTCCTGAGAAAATATTTCTCAGTGGCAGAAGCTCCGGCCACTCACTGGAGACCTTCTAATCCCCTTCCCGTCTGGCACAATACCGACCCTGCTGAAATCCTAGAATTGATAGCTGAGCTGAAAACTGGTAAGGCCCCTGGGCCAGATTTGGTCCCTGTTGAGGCTATAAAGCTACATTCTGCATGGTGGGCAGGGATTTTAGCTAAAACGTTTGACGCAATAAATGCCACGGGCTTAATACCAGGTACGTGGAAGGAGGCCATTATAATTCCTATCTACAAAAAAGGCCCTCCCGGTGACCCAGGGAATTACCGGAATATCAGTCTGCTATCGTCCATTGGGAAAATATATGCCCGTTTTTGCTGGCAAGGCTGATGAAGTGGTCAGCTGAGGCTGACCTGATTGGGCATGAGCAAGCCGGATTTAGATTAAATCGATCCACAACAGATCAGGCAATTATTCTTTATCACTTAGCCCGGAAATACTCGACACCTCGACGGGGCCAACTTTGCGCAGCCTTCATAGATTTGAAAGCTGCGTTTGATAGTATTCCGAGGCAATTACTATGGGATAAACTTGCCTGCTGGGGAATAGATAGAAGGCTCCTGTGGCTTATCTCCCAACTTCATGCCGGATCCGTGGCCAGGGTAAGAATATCCCCTGCTGGAGACCTAACTAACCCAGTGCCAGTAAATAAGGGTGTACGCCAGGGTTGTATTTTAGCGCCTCTTCTTTTTAACTTATTTATCAGTGATATGAGGAACCCATTAATCGACTCACAAAAATTTATCCACACCCCCCGTATAGCAGATTATCGTTGTCCTTTACTTCTCTACGCAGATGATGCGGTACTACTCTCTTACTCCAGAGTGGGTTTAAGGAGGGCACTAAAGATTTTTGCATCATATTGCCGTTCTAATCATCTGTCTATCAACCACACCAAGTCCAAAGTACTGATATTTTCAAGGAGTCGAAAATTATATTCATGGAAATTGGAGGGCACGAAAATCGAACAAGTACACAAATTTAAATATTTAGGAATTTATTTTCAATATAATCTAGGGTGGAAAGCGCACGTTGAATATCTTCAAAACAAGACAAAAGCCCTATCACACTCCCTCCTTCGTTTTTCTACTCTGAGGGGCCTTATTCATCCCTGCGGCCTTGAAAGTGTATAGCATTAAAGTGATGGCCACAATGGCCTATGCTGCACCTTTATGGGCTGCTTTTGCAAACCTCTCACCTTTAGAGTCGCTTCAAAGCCAATTCTTACGCCGACTTCTAAAACTACCAACATGCGTAAGTAATGCGGCTATTCGCTTAGAAATGAAGATCCCCTCAGTGGAGTTAGTTTTATGGAGGAGAGTTTTGATTTATTGGATATCCCTATGGCATAAACTACCGAACCATTATCTCATTCAATGCATGTGGCGGGATGACTTCACAAATTTGTGGTCAGGAAAAATCCATGCCAAATTGCTGTCCTATGAGATCTCGCCCACGGAATTGCTCAAACTGGATCTAAACGCGGCAAAAGGTGTATAAATCAAAGGCTGGATGATGTGGAGCTATACCAAAATTTCTTAGCTGGTGGTGGAGCCTGCTCCCCGTTAAATCTCGGCATAACCCCTATCTATCGTGCTCCGTCCTACTTAACATCGCTTATAGCCGCATCTCACCGATATGCCTTCATTAGAGCCAGGTTCAATGTTTTTCCAACAAACGTGCTGAGACATAGATTCACTAAGGGCCAAGTCCCTTCAATGTGTGCTTGTGAAATGAAAACATCTGAATCTTTACATCATGTTATGTTTATCTGCCCTATGTACAGTTCAGCTCGCGCTAGTATACTAAACTCCATAATCCAGCCTATGGCTGACAAACCAGTAGACCTACAGCTTGCCTGGGTTCTTCAAGATGCAGATCCTTATATTACTCTACAGGTTGCTAAATTCCTAACAGCCGTTCTCTCGTACAAGAGACGGAATGGAATGTTAGCTGATTATTGATAGTTATAAGAATTTTTGATATTGACATCAGATATTGATTTTAGCGTAGTGCCTAAATTTTTAACTTTAATCTTAAATTTCTGTTTTGATTTGCCAATATTTGTCCTTGTGAGCTGTGAATTGTGTTATATTACTTGTGGCTTGTACGAGATCGCTGTTTTATTTGATTTGTTTTGTGTGTTGTGCTTTATGATGGGCGTAAAGCCGAATAAACATTTTGATTTGTGATTTTCAAAAAAAAACAACATGGCCCAATGGTTACAGAAAACCATAAAAATTCAAAAAAAACCACACAAGCTCCCAGATTCTTGCAAACACCTCCCCAGCTGTTCCCCCATCCACCCAGCACACAGAAATTTAAAACCCAGAAACTTTTTTCAAAAAAAAACAACATGGCCCAATGGTCACAAAAAACCCATAAAAATTCAAAAAAAACCACACAAGCTCCCAGATTCTTGCAAACACCTCCCCAGCTGTTCCCCCATCCACCCAGCACACAGAAATTTAAAACCCAGAATTTTTTTTTCAAAAAAAAACAACATGGCCCAATGGTCACAGAAAACCATAAAAATTCAAAAAAAAGCACACAAGCTCCCAGATTCTTGCAAACACCTCCCCAGCTGTTCCCCCATCCACCCAGCACACAGAAATTTAAAACCCAGAATTTTTTTTTCAAAAAAAAACAACATGGCCCAATGGTCACAAAAAATCATAAAAATTCAAAAAAAAGCACACAAGCTCCCAGATTCTTGCAAACACCTCCCCAGCACATACCCCATCCACCCAGCACACAGAAACAGAAAACCCAGAAACTTTTTTCAAAAAAAACAACATGGCCCAATGGTCACAAAAATCATAAAAATTCAAAAAAACACACAAGCTCCCAGATTCTTGCAAACACCTCCCCAGCTGTTCCCCATCCACCCAGCACACAGAAATTTAAAACCCAGAATTATTTTTCAAAAAAAAACAAGGACCAAAGGTCACAACAAAACATAAAAAAAAAAAAAAAAAACACACAAGCTCCCAGATTCTTGCAAACACCTCCCCAGCTGTTCCCCCATCCACCCAGCACACAGAAATTCAAAAATTCAAAGCCAGATTTTTAAAAAATAAAAAATAAACATGGCCCAATGGTCACAGAAAATCATAAAAATGCAGAAAAAAACCACACAAGCTCCCAGATTCTTGCAAACCTCTCCCCAACACCAAGTCCTTGAATTCTAAACACCCCAACCCAAAATCCCAAAACCCCAAAAAAAGTTTTAAAAGTTCAACTTACCAAACAGCTGTAGAAGAAGTTTTGGAAAAGCTTCAAAAATCCAGCAAACTCTTTAAAAAGCTCAGAAAGGCCACCACACCGCGTGCAATGTGTTGCTCCTCGAGGTCAAGTCGCAACTGCACCTCTTCCAGCAATGCACCCTGGGTTTTAACGGTTTTACGAAAAAGGAAACAAACTTGCAAGACGTTTTCGTCTTGTGAAGCAAGCCCATAGGGACATTCGTCTTGCGAAGCAAC